TGTTTCTGCCGGGCATGCAGTGAGTTTTGGGTGTTGTGAGCCCGAGTGTGGTCCTGTGGAGCTGGGGAGCGTGGTGCTCTTTGGTGCCGCGGGGAAGGACTCGCTCTGGGGGCTGGAGGTCAAGACAGCGGCGGGTTGGGTCGGGGTAGCTGGACGGTGCGTGTCCAGGTGCAGAGAAGGGAGATGGCCTTCAGCCTGCTTGCACCCTGCACAGGGGGCCAATGCAGCCCTTGTCCCTGCCCTTCTCGCCCCGGCTGCTTTGCTCTGCTGAGGGTTGTCGTGGTCCCTTTCCTCCTGGCTGTCTCCAAGCCCTCTGGCCAGCCGAACAGGAGCTCTGGCCAAGCGATGCTTTAGCGTATCCCACCCCCCAGATAACCAACTTCTCCCAACTAAAAGATGCGAAGGGCACGATCTGCCCTGATCCTGCCGGTGCATCTCAGCTGCTGCCCCCCCCCGTCGCTTGCTGAGCTCCTCAAAAGCAGCTCTGCTTTGCAGGAAACGAATCCTGCCATTTCTAAAAGCTGCCCAGTTCCTGGGTTTAGTCAGGAACCGAATGTCCCTTTTCTAACGGCCAAATTATTCTCTCCTCATCCAAAAAACAAGTTTCTTCTATGGGCCAAAACCTCTTGCTGTCTTGAAACGTCCCTCCCGGCTGGTGGTGGTGCCTCTGCTCTCCTGCTGGCTGACAGACCCGCATCCCTGCAACCCCCCGCACTAGCTCTTCACTTTCTCTCTCGACAGAGGCTTTTATCTGCCAAAAGATACAGAAGTCCCCAGGGCACCCTCTCCACGCTGCCCTTACGCAGCCTCTGTGCTCCCCGTCCCGTGTTTCAGGGCAAGCCGTGCCCTGTGCAGCTGCAGGGAAGGTCCCTGGTGCTGGCTGGTGGCCCGGACGGTGCCTCCTGCCTTCCAGCTGTCAGGACGCCGTTTGCGCTTTCGAGCCCAGGCTGCTGGGAGCCGGGCTCGTGCGGGTGCTCGGCGCGAGTTTGGTGCAGACAGGCTCGATGGATGGTGTGGGACCATGTGGAGGCCCTGGGATGGGATTTGGGGTGTGTGTGGGGGGGAGCGTTGCAGGCTGGGGGAGGCAGAGATGCCGTAGGTGCTAAAAATAAGGAGGCTGCGTCGTCTACTTCTAAATGCAGAGAGGTGTCTGACAATAAGCTGTGCTCTGAGTAACAACCTGAGGGTAGGTGAGGAGGCGGCTTTTTGTGTCTGTGCTTGCTGGGTGGGAGGGAGGCCCTCAAAGACGGGCAGAAGGCGGCAGGGAGGGGAGGGAGGGGGTCGTGTGGATTTAAAGCTTTGGGCTTTTGCTCTCCTGCGACCCGGAACAGGGCCAGCGAGTAGCGTGCAGCGATGCTTTGCGGTATTTCTTAGCAAATCTCGTCAAAGAAAGCTGGCTTCTTTCGGCACTGGCGTGACAGTCCGCCCGTATGGGGGCTCAGAAGGGATTTGGGGTTACGTAGTGGGTTTCCAGGCTTTTAGTGGGACCGGTTGGGAGCAGCGGTGGTGCAGAGTTGGCATCCGGTGCGTCGGGCTGTACTGGGAGGGACCGGCTCCCAGCAGCAGGCTGTGCTGTGCTGGCTGAGATGGCGGGTGAAGGTCCCATCACTGGAGCAGATTCGGAGCCTGACCGCGTTTTTGGGGTCGGTGCGGGGTACGAGGGAGCTAGCGAAGCATTTGCACCCGCGCCGTTGCTGGGAGGTCTCTGTGCGGCCGCAGCCCCCCCCACCCCCTTCCTGCCAGGTGACTGGGCTCGAGCGCTGGTCGGGCAAGGGGCC